CTGATTTAATGCTATCGAGCAAGGCATATATTGAAGGATGAGGTACTGTATTCGCTGTAATTAAATTTAATATCTTACTGGCGACTAAAGATTCTTCAGTGATATTGATTTTAGCATCAGATATTCGAGTACAAATCCCGGGGGTGGTACTCGACCACGTTTTGGATAGGTACGTGCCGCCAGCGGTCTAAATCCCTGACCCTGTTTAAGACACTTAAAAGTAAAAATCCATACCTTGTTCAAGACAAATCGGAAAAATAAGGAATAGCTATCTACGCCAACCATCAAAACTGCAATTATACTGACATCCATCAAAGACAATAAGAAGTTTTTGATAACACTATAATCCTGGGACAGTGAAACGGTATTTCTACTATTTCTACGGTTTTTTTATGAAAATATTAACCTCGGTATGGATCATATTTGCTCACTCTAATTTTTTGCACACAGTTATAGCAATATGTAGTCATTCAAGAAAAAATTGAAACTAGGTTTTGGAAATCACTGTAATACAGCCAAAATTGTCGTGCGCCACAATTGGTGTGTAAAATTTAGAACAAACATCGAACGACTATTGATTTTGAAAAAATCATTTGAGTACGAAAATAGTTGAATCGGTCACGAAAAGAATTCTAATAGCATCTCTGATAGATTATTCATCTGGTAAAATGGTTTTACTGAATGAAGATATAACTTAACAGCCATAAACATACCTTCGAAAGACCTTCTTGTCAGCCTTCTCTCCTTCGCTTCGTCCGCCATTGTTACTATCAAACTAGTACCTAGTCCTGCTCGGTTGCATCACGGATCGTCCACAGAGGAGATATCAGTAGTATCCCTTTATGCTTTGCGCGCGTGGTTTGTTGACAAAATGGCTGCTATTTCCGGTGATATGTCTGTTAGTAAGTTTCCGGTCCAGAATGATGTCTTGTCTTTTTTTGCATCTTAACAAGGGAAGTTCCGAAGTTATTTGCGGTCTGGTTGATTTTCTTTGTATTTCTCTTAATTTTTTGAAGTAATGTTTGTTTTACGTATGAGAAAATTCCTGTTTTGTAGTTAACATTCGCGGTTTCAATTCTAATTATATAACATGACGATCAGTTCAAAAAAGTGCTGTTTTTACACCTGTTCTTTGAGCTATTTAAGTTTAGTTAAGTCAGATCTATAGAAAATGAGTCATACAAAGGTACAGTCAAAAAAGTCTCAAAAAGTCTCCATGATTTCATATGCTAAATAGAGCTTGAAAACCACTGAAATTTGCAAAGTTCAGGAGAATCGCGTATCTTGATTAGGCGCAAGGTTGATATCGCTATCAGCGAGCTATGCTACAGTTTCTGCCACACAAAAAAGTTGAACATAAAACACACTGAAATACGAGTGTCAAAGTACACATTAGTATATGTTTGAACCTTTTTTCGGACGATTTTCAATATAAAACATGTCTAAAAGAACTCGTGTCATTGTAAGGTTATTAAAATGAACTTACTATACAACACGCGCATTTGGTTTCTTATGCAGCATTGAAGCTAAAAACCCTACTCCATAAATACCATAAAACAGAAAGCAAACAACTAATGAACAAAGTAAGACTGACTGTTTATTTATAAAACAATTTCTTGCAATGCAAAAAAACAACTTTGGTTTAACAAACAAAGCCGGACTTCAGTTTTAAGCTCATTTCAAGTAATTTCAAACAATTAAAACAAGTTTTTACTAACCTCTAAATCTGACGAAATAAAAACACGGACTAAAGCAGGACTTTTTATTCTATCAAACAGTTTTTCAACCTTTTGACCGTCCACAGCGACAGGAGTCAAAGCAACCTGCCTCTTCGACAATTTCCTTATCGATTTTATCTACAAAACAGTCCACTTGTCGACAAATAAGGTCTAAAAAAAAACAATTCCTTTTATCGATACCTGAAAATTATTCTTGCTTATACAATGAATGTATAAAAAAGAAGAGTCTTTGAGAGTTTCATCTCTATAATCGAACTAGAGATGAAATTGACGAACGGGTCAAAGTTTCCCGCCATTGATCTTCACTCGGCCAAGACCAAAAACAAGTGATGACGTCACATAAAAACCGGTAATATAGTCTGAAACGCAATGCATTGTGGGGTACTACTGTTCACTCCTGGATCGTCCAATGCAATCTCGAGCCCAGAGTTTTCTCGACTAATGTCAGCGGTATGCTGACGCCGGAAAGACTCTGGAGGAATCGACTGGATTTGCGACGCTTTTCCGTCGCAAATTATGCAAATGAGGTCAGTTTTGTTTTTGCCGTTTTAGAGCATCAAAATGATAAAAAAGAAGGAGGTTTAGCACACAACTTAGTTAAGAAAAGGTATTTACACTTGTAGGGATTCTGGCGTTGTGCGCTGAAAAAGTTTAAATTAAGTTTAAAGTTTAAACTTGAACTCTCGTAATATAAGATGACTAAAAAATCAGTAACCGAGTTTAAAAACATATATCCTGTGTATTGCGACAAAATTAGTCAAAATTGCTAGCTAGGGTGAAAAGTCAAAAAGATCAGTCACAAAAATTATCTCTCAAAATTTTTTAAATTATGACTGATCTTATACAGAAAAGAAGGGTTTTTCAGTATGTTTTCGTAAAATATAAATGTTATATTCTTATATTTTTCATATTTTATTATATTTCAATATATAGTGGAAGTAAGAAAAAAAGGTATTTTTCGTCATAATTTGTTTTCATATGCAATTATCACGGGTAGCCCAAGCTCTACTTGATATAAGAGAGAACGTAAGTGAGTCTATGTAAACAGTCGATTTTATAGCATAAAGATACATTAAATTTCGCTGTAATTTGCTGTGTGGATTATGCCGTTTTCAACGAGCCAGTTGATTTTCCTGAGCCATGAGTTCTCCTGAGACAAGTAAAATCCTTGCCAAAAACCGCCATAATTCACCGTGGACGAGAAACGTCTGTACAGAAAAATGCAAAAAACCTACCGTACCGGGATGTATGGGGAGGAAACAAAGACTGAAGCAAATGCAAAAGATCCACCATACAGGGAGGTCATGTCTACGAAATTACTCAGTCTTTGTTTTTCCTCCCGGTACCTCCCGGTACGGTAGATTTTTTGGAGGGCTTCGATTCCTACCCTGTCACAGATTATAGTAAGGGACTGTGCAATAATTACCAGATGCGGGGGGGGGGGGGGGGGGGGGGGGGGGGGGGGGGGGGGGGCTTAAATTTCATTCAAAATTTTCTTAATTTTCGATGTCTCTCAAAAGGCTGGAAACCGCATTTCCAAGAGTTATATATTTCAAAATTTCCAGACTCCCTTAATACTCCCGCATTTGGCGGTCGTTAGACCCCCATATCCAAAATATGTGTCGCGGTCCCTGACATGTGTATAATAAGTCCACGCCACTCACCTGGCTAATGGAAACCTGACTAATGGAAAGACTCGTTGATGTGGGATTGAAATTGACCAAGGTATGAATTTTTTTTTTCAACTTTGATTTTTTCAATTTTGTCACATAAATTGAGGATGTAGATGTCACATAAATTGAAGATGTAGAAGCTGAAAAACATATTGATGATTTATTAGACATAAAAAAGCACAAGTAATATCAAAGTCGTTTTTGACCATAAAAACGTTACAAAAGCCTTTTTTGGACCTTGAAAACCTTTGCCAGGAGCAAAATTATTTGAAAGAAGCAAGGGCGCCACAATTGTGAGATTTTCAACAATGTAGCCAGTATAGCCAATGTAAAATCCTTTTAATTTCCCAGGAACAAATTCATACGAGAACAATTATTTAGCATTCATTCAGCTCCTCCTGAAAAGTTGTATTGTCTTTACACTTAGTTCCAGATGAGTAAGCCACCTCTTGCATCAGGGTTCGTCTTTAGTGAATTTTGCGTTGCTACAGTTGACTCGACTCGCCTTTGCTTGTTTTATAACTAAGGTTAATAGTTGGGCGGGGGAGGGTCGACGTTATTTCTCATATAGCAGGGGAGGTAAGAGCTATTCTCTTATGCTTCGGAGGGAGGGTTCTGACTAATTTTTCTGCTTAAGAAATCTGGTTTTACGGCCCCCCATTCCTGGTAATTATTGCACAGTCTCTAAGAGGGGAAAATAATTCATAAAAGTTCTGAAAATCGCTTCAGAGATTACCAGTAGCCATAATAATCCACACAGCAAGTTACAGCGAAATGTTATGTATCTTTATGCTATAAATCGACTGTTTACATAGACTTACATACATTCTCTTTTATATCAAGTAAAGAGCTTGGTAAAGAGCTTCCCGTGCAATTATGTGATAAACAGACAACTACATGGTCGATTGGAGATACTGATTTTATCTTCTCGTGTTGAAAATCGCTCACTCGTGAGAGATCTTTTCAACACTCGAAGAAAAAATCCGTATCCCCGCGCGCTAATGTGCTCTATATCTTACATTATTTGAAAATACCCGTATGTATACATCATCTTTCTAGAGATACATTTTCTCTTATAAAGCCTTTCTAACTAAAAACATTCTGTATTTGTGGAAGGCCCTAGTCAGGTGCTCCATAGATAGAGACGCCATAGGAAAAAATTGGTATAAACTATATCATTCAATCTTCCTCTTCGTGCCTAGTGGCACATGGGGTATAGTATATAGTATAACACAATCTCGTAGATTATAGTATAACATTTCAGGAAAATTGTAAACATAAAAAGCATGTATTCAAGGCAAAAATTATTAAGGGTAGCAAATGTCTTTATATGATTACTTACAAATGTCTTACAAATATCACTTAGGAAGGAAACATTTTCACAAACAGAAGTCGATAGAGTTTTCAATTTTATATGTGATTTACATATTCACGATAAAACACGAACTACGAGTTTTTTAAACGACATTTAAAACTCAAACCTCTAAGACACTAACTACAATATTTTAGTTTAACATGAAATAAAAAAATATCAAAAAAATATCAAAAATATCAAAACTGAATAATTGATGAAAATAGCTTCATCTGAGCATGAGCAGTAATCAACTTAGTTTCCCACATCCAAGCGCCACTATGTTTTAGTCTACTATGAATCTGCAATAAGTACATTTCAACTTGAAACCTAGTAAAGTTCTATGATGAGAGTCTAATACTGATAACTTTTCTAGTGCTGGGCACACATCGAGTGTCTGTAAATCAGTTACAACAGTGATGTTTTATGCATGAGTGTTATAACTAACTGAATTGGTTAGTTATAAAACTCATGTTTAATTAATCAGTGGTCTTGAATTATAGACCCGATCATGTGACCCATAGTTGAATGCTCATTGGGAGAATGTCTAATGAATAATTCATGAGTTTTAGAAAGTTATGCTACTATGCACTGCGGAATATTGTGGACTTTACTGGTAAATCGTGTTTAAAAACTTTCTTCTGAAAAATTAGCTCTTTACATTTAGATAATTGTCTTTTGACCAAAATAAAAACTGGTCCAAGCAGTTGATAGGTATTAGTATCAATAGAAATGTTTAGTATGCTCTATAATATATCTACCTTATGATTTGGGTCAATCCTGCAATGCTCCATCCGACCCCAAGAGGACCGTTCCCTCCACCATTAGTGTATTGTAGCTGGACTTCAAGTAAGTGAGTTGGGAATCCTTTGGGTGTGGTCACAGGTACTACATACTTAGCTTGACCATGTTCAACTGCAAACTCAGTTAACATGCTCCCCACTTCATACGTGTGACTGCACTGGGCAAAGGCCAGCAATATCATCAGCTTGAAAATGCGCAACATCAGGACATTCTAATAAGGAAATCAAGTTTCCAAGTATGAGTCAAAGTCCATTATGTTTTAGATTTATATTGAGCAATGCTAACGCGCGATTTTCGTGAGCGGTCACAGGGCCATCGTAACGTAAATAAACGATTTTTTCCAGAGTTAGATTTTTTCCCCTTCCTAATAGGCAACATATAGAGTGAGCTACATAATTATTTTTGGCCATGATCATGTTTTAGTTCTACGCTTTCTTCAATCTATGTATGTATGAATCTATCTATCTAGGTTCTTATCATGCAGCGTTTGGGCATTGTACACGAAGCCCAAGAACTTAAACTACCGACAGTGCTTTATGTCAATAACCGACAATCGAATTTTGCCTCAGTAGTCACACACAAAGGAATCGAGACGAGGCGCTGTGCATAGATAATAATTTGCTTTCATATATAATCATATAATAGACCGAATATTACATGGACGCTCTCGGAGATGCGAATTATATTTTCTCTTGTTGAAAATCTTTCGCTTGTTTGCGCATCCGCGCACACATAATGTAATATCCTATGTTTCCCAATTATCAAAATAGCTAGGTCCGACTTCACGCTCTAAGAGCTGCTAGTTATTTCTTTACGATCAATACTAGCTAGCCGGACCTCACGTCACGCTGTTACTCACGTTTATTTATTTTATCGTTGTTGTGATATAGTTATATATAACTAGGTGTAGAGCGTTTATTAAAGTTCCTCCAAGATGGCCGCTGTGACGTAACTTGAAAACGAAGAATTCTTGGCGTGCAAGTTACGTCATCGCTGCCATGTTGGATGAAAATCACAAAGCATTCCTCGTTAGTTTCTCTAGTTCATTCATCAAACATGGCGGCGATAGCTTTTGTTGTTTATTTTTTAGGGGATTCCTGGTCACGTGGTTGCACACCAAGAATACTACATTGACCCAAACAGCAGTGTTTGTTTCAGACCATACGTACAGTAAACAAATAACTTGTTTCCCTGCGACAGACTTGATGACTTGCTATCGTAGTGAGACGGAAGGTGAGCGTGCAATGAAATGCTTCTCTTGAAATTTTGTCTCTTTAACTATCACATCCATAGACAATAATCTACAGGTGTCTATTATTGCACGGCTGCCTCGATTCGATACAATACAACTTTTATCTTACAAGGGAACTGCGAAGGAGACTGCCGATAGTACGGGGCGATCCATAAGAATTTTTTGGGCGGGGTTGAAAGAGTCTGAAAAAAAATTTCCTGCAAGGAAGAATTTTGAAGAATCTGCACTAAACCTTTTTGTAAATATCAAAAAACAAAATGACATGCATCAAAAGTTAAATGGTCCGCCCATAAACATGAACCTGACCTATAATCTCCGATACAAACTTTTTTCAAAAACGACAAAGTCCGACTCTTACGTGGGGTCCGACTCTTACGTGGGGTCCCATGGAATGCAATCTATCTTTAGAAGTAACCACCTATCAAAAAAACATAGTTAAAAGAGGGGAATGGTTTGGAAACATTTTGTTGTACTTCTTTTGTACACGTATTTCATGAGGTTGAATCAGTCAAGTCGACCGTATACACCTTTTTTCTTACGGACGATGGAAATTACAAAATGAGTGAACATTAACACTCTCTATGAGATTACGAAATGAAATATTTCGATATTAGTTAAAATGTTTTGTGCATGACTAAACATGTTCAGCACTACACCAAGGGTAAATAATGATTTAAGTAATGCCCCGTAAGAACTAGGGAAGCAAATGGCAAAGGAATGCAAGAAGGTGCTAATTGCGCATTGTATAATCCATCCATCCCATTGGTTAAAACATGAAAATCTGCTATAATTTCACAAGTTAGCGAATTTTTTAATATTTTATTTAATGTCTGTTTTCGCTTTCATGAAAGCTTTCTTTAGCTTCAATATTAAGGCAATTCTATGTGGGGAACATTGCAAATTAGAAGCATCTTTTGGCTATTGTTTTAAGAGCTTATGATTGGATAAGAGCTTTTAATACAAAAGAAACTTTGTTTCAAAATAGAGTTTGACAACATTTTATTTCAAGAATGTGTTACCCACAAGTTAATACATAATCAGTGTGAAAACCAAGACATTCGTACATGGGGAACTTGCTATGCCGCAGAACAATAGAGAGTTCCCTAGTTCTTTAGCGCATTGTTACTTAATGATAAAAGATTTATGAGAATTGAATAGATTTTGTGAATTTCTCATACTATTTAGTGAAATTTCCTTCAAAACTCTTGCAAGACCTCTATTATTAGTACGTAATTAATCAGGTATCTCAAGTAAAACGAAAACCAACTATTTGAAATGGACTCAGGTTTATTTATGGAACAAAATCGATGAAATCGAACACCTCAGTTATTGACTATAAAAAAAATAGTTCATTAGCTGGTTTGAAACAAAATACCCTTGCGCTCACCACGTTGTTGGCTTTCTTTCAAAACAGGCAAGAAGTGTCTTGAGAGAGAGATGATAAAAGTACGAGTTTTGAGTTCCTTATCGTGGAAATATTTTTGGAATAAAGAAGAAAATAGGAAGATGATCATTAAAATGTGTTGATTTTTTCATATATACTCATTGTCAGTTTCTATAGTTCTAACTTCGATCAAAGAGTAAAATGCTGTAACTTTAGTTCTACAGAACAAAATCATTCGAGTCAAACTCATTAATAAGCAGGATCTTTCTGCGTGCACCGGAATCTATTGCATTCTGGTTAGGTTTCTTTATATTTTTGAGCTTTTCGCTCTATTAAACTACATGATCTGATCTCCGATGCTTACACGAAGCAACCAAATTCTTGAATGACGTGCCAATGGAACTCCAAGTGAACGATAGCGCTAGCTTGATTTTCAGCTCCGCATCTGAATTCTATGAATTCTATGATAGTCTGGTTACAATAATTCATATAGGAGTAAAAAGAGTGATAAATTCAAGAAAAGTCCAAATCTGAATCCAAGCATGCCATGTAACTTTTTCACTGAAAGAGCGTCCAAAACTTAGTACATTTTTAAATGTATTTCCATTTGTTTTCTATTGTGAAATTTCTCCTAAGATCCAAATTCATAAAATTGCATGAAAAAATTGTCGAGAACAGGAATTTCGAAACACTTCTTTATATTACCATGAATCTCCATAAAAATTTTCTTAGCGAAAAAAAAAAAATATATAAAAATGAATTTATTTGATGTCATAAACTTCTCTGAATCTTACCGTTGAGCTTCTTCAGCTAGCAGTGCAAACCCATGAAACGTACCGATAAACAGGAAGTCGACAACTATTCAAGGTCATATCTGCCACATTTATAACTCTTTTAAATTACATGAAACTGAGCCAAAAAATGTGCACCTATCAATGCCTTGCCCCAATGAGTTTAAAAATGGCAATAATGTCAACCCGCTTCAGCCGCTTGTCTAGAAAAGCAGTTACAACGGGCAACTTTCCAATAAATCAATTACCATAAAAACCGGATCTAATAGTAAAAAAATGCCTGTTTTATAAGAGACAGTTGTGTAAAAGACAAAATGTTTTATAAGAGAACCGGGACTAACTATACTTCTGCGACGACAGTCCTATTTTATAAAATATTTCAGCGTTTCGCCGCTTGCAGCTCAATTGGGAGGCTGTTCCAAAGTATATATATATCGCACCTTTATAACTAAAAAAGTTTGTGCGAGGCTTTGGAACAGCAAGTTTGTCCTCAGAGCCTCTTAGATTGTTAGTCGGCATTCGTTTATTGAACAGAGAGCCCAAATAAGCAGGGGCCAGTCCATTAATAGGTTTAAATACCATTACGTCTGTGCGAAATTTGCGTTGGTCTGCGCAAGTTTTTTCCAACCGAGCGCTGAGGCAGTCTGCATTAGAATCATAGCTTGAAAAGGTCAAAACCCGTGAAGCTCGATTTTGGAGCTGTTGCAATTTGGTAGCAACAATAGTCGAAATGTGGTTGCATTATTTATCGTGAATTGAATATCGATATCAGAAAAAAAAAAACACACTAGATTTTGCTCATGTTTGAAAATAAAAATACCTCTTTGGCTTATCATAAATGTTTAATTTCCTACCTCTTTTCAAAAGTTGCTTCAGGCTCAAGTATAATTACTGATATTAACAAAATCCAATAGTTTTTCCTTTTTTTTTCTAGCTTCACATGTTTATCATAGGAGTAATGAATGTTGAAACGAACTTCGAACTGGAGTTCTTTTTAGTTTTGAATATGCGTTGCCTTTTCAGAATATGGAACATAATGTCCCACACGTATGGGAGATAACATTTATCATAAGACTCGATAAGTACTTTTTTAAAAAAACTCTTCCATCCTTTAAGTCCGTCAAGACATTCTGCAATATTTTTAATATTGTTGTCTGTTTTGAAGCAGAGACAGCAATATTAAAATATTGCAGCTGGCCAACCTGTTTCTGTCTGCATTCGTTGGTCTAATGCAGAGGGAAAACAATGGGTTACGATCGATATCAGTAATTATTTGATATGAATGTATATCTGTAAATTAGTCTAAGATATCCTTCTAGAGAGTGTCATGGAGACTCTTTAAATATACTATGTTGCTGCGCAACAAGCTGTTTGCATTGCGACCTGCGACTGAATGGTATTGATCTTAGATTGACATATAATTTTTTGTGACGTTTTAGCGCTATTATTGAAGTAATTCCACCAAAAATTAAATTTCATTAATAAAGCCAGAAAGTTAAACAAAGTTGTTGGATTCTCTGTCGCCGTAACGTGCTGTGAATAGAAGACATTTTGATTACTTAAGAGAATTCATCCGCAAAATTTTCAAATTTTATTTTTAAAGTTAAACAATATGATTCCTTTTGTAAATCGACTATATAGGAACATGTCCTTCTCACTCAGACTCCGTATTGGTGTATTTGGCTATGACTATTGTTCCTTTGCGTTTCTTCTGTTCATTCGTCTTTCCATTTTTCTACACACAGCATCTTCAATGCACCTTCTCGAAAGTCAGAAAGAAATATGATATAAATAAACGGACTGAATGAACAGTTCAAATGGGGCAAGAATTTGACGATGACATACCAGAGTGACATCCAGTCTATACAAACAGTTTGTGTCACAGAAAAATACGAAGAATAATAGATATTGTAGAAACTTGTATAAGCAAACATTGGAAGCCAGCAACTCGCATACAGAAGTACAGACGCGAGAACCATTCGTACGGCTGCTTGTGTTCGGCGAACTCGAGCTTTTCGCTGTTCTTGGTTGAGATGGGCGTGAATGGCAAGAGGTCTGGAYARTCGTCTTATTGTCAAAATGCTAAGAGTGAATACTATTATCACAATTAGAACGTCTGAAARGACCGATATYAARTTGAAMAGGTGAAATAAGTCTTTGCTAAGATAAACACAAATTCCGTCTTGACCTCGTCGSACMTAATAAAACATGTAGRAAACCACAGCYATAGGAATAAGCCAGCACACTCCAAGTACTAAAACGCGCTGTGTGTTAGTACCTTGCCACTGCACTACTGCTTTTTGCGTTGCTCTGAATCGTTCGATGCTGATTATCAAAAGGGTAAGCAAGGACACTTTATATGTAACATCTCGAAAAAATGCAAAASCCTTGCAGAGAATATTACCCAGGATACCATCTGGATATGTTGAAAACAATGTTTTGCGCGATTCAATATCCAGTATTACCGTTATAAGAAGGTAGAGGGCATCTGACACGGCCATGTTGATGATCAAATGATGCAGGTTCTTGCGTACTGTGTATTTCATAGCGAGCACTATGACAAAGATGTTTCCTGCAAGTCCCAATGTAATCAGAATTACCAAGGAAATGCGTTTAATATCAACCTCCAGTTCCCTGTCAGGCTTATTGTATCTGCAGTATTTGAATGCAGAACTTACGTTGGCTTTGGTATCGTTCATGATGGGTATTGGCTGTCCTTACGGTTTCATACATAAACATATGAAGCAGCGAATGTGCTTTAAGATTACCGAATTACTTATGTTTTACAAAGAGGAGCTTTTGATACTTTTGT